TTAGCTTCCAAAACTTGATTAAATTCACTGTTATTAATCTATCTGAGAATCTCATCCAATAATAAAACACTGGACTCTGATGCTAAGTGAAATTATTATTTACATTTAACAACTTGAGGCGTTTTAAGTTTAAATTATGCAAATTACCTTAAATTATTTATACAATAAAATAAAATTTAAAATATATTCCGAGTCCAAGGGAAATATTTAGGAAATAAAATGAAACATTTCCACGATATAATATATCACTCTCTTTATTAACTTTATTCTTTTACCTTTTACTCTGCAAGACGATTATAGTGCAATGGTGTCCGTCATGAGTTTATGAACAGATAGGACTTTGTGCAATCACAGTTTCTAGAGATAAGCAGAGCCGCAGGAGTTAAGAAATGTCCAGCATTCACTGGAGTTAGGCTTGGAAGGTAGTGAACAGCTTACTGGGGAAAAAAACAATTCCATTATAATCTAATTCTGGACCAGAACCTGTCACTATTTTTAAAAATACTTTTAATAAATAGGGTTAAAAACTAGCAGCACAGCATTCGGTCAAACGCTTAGTACCGTACTTCTCTATTGTGTTCTCTGATACAATTTAAATTGAAGTTTAAGATAAATACGTAAAACTATTTGAAAATAGTAACGTCTTAGATTATCAGTCGATCCATGTTTACCATTTCCCCAAGGTAATAGATAAAATAATGGAACATTGGTGCAGGTTTTTTTTTTCTTTTCTTTTTATACTGTATACAGTCATGTGCATCGTTAGAAATATACGACCTTGAACCCGAGCATAAAGAAGTTGAAAGATTTATTTTTAAATCCAAAATCTAAATCATCGTCTAGGTGAAGTATTAAATTGGAGTAGAATGCACATGATCATAAGTGTGCATGATTAAATGTATAACGTTATTTATTCAGGACTATGAGAATCGGAGCTATTATAATGTATGTCTGAATATTCTGGAATGCCTGGGTTGTTCTGTGCTACTATTCTAGGGCGACACACATAACCGTACACACACATACAAACACAAACAAACTAGAAAGAGTTTAAGAGAGAAATAATAGATAGTGCGACTAATATAGAATCAAAAGGAGCACTTAAGATAATAACGTCGGTGAGAAAATGAAGGATGACACTATTGACAACAGATAAGGAATGAATAATTAGAAAGGTTGTTTTGGTTGGTTTTTTTTTTTTTTTGGTGGGGTTGCGGGGGCACCCCATCTCCATCAAATGGGGGGGAAAGGATGTTTTAAAAGCAAATCGTGGATGAAAAAAAAAAAGNTTTTTTTTTATCGTAGAAAATGCCTTTTTGACTAAACCTTATTTTGAAAGGGACCAAGGTGACAGGTTCGGAATTTCCCTCACTCATAAACTTTAGCGGGCAATTTTAACAGGGATTCTTTGATACTGTGTCAGATTGCTACGATTTACAAAATTATGGTTGTGCATTATCCACTTATAACTGAATTTTTAAACTTTTCTCACAACCTCACTTTGACCATGTTTGTCTCATAAAATGTTATTCAATGTTATAAAATAAAAACTTTCAGTCCGATTTTAAAAAAGATTTTCACCATTATAATCAACGTTCAAACCTATACAAACATAATAAAAATCAGAATTAGACTAGTCGGTGAGATTCGACTGAAACCGTCGTGGAGGGTCCCATAATAGATATGAGAATGGGGAAAACGCGCGGGCCGCATTAACACTAACCTTAGCTGTCATGTAGTGGGCCGCAAAATATCGTCTTGCGGGTCGCAAATGGCCCGCGGGCCGCGTGTGAAGGCCCCTGCTACAGAACACTCTCATCGTCATCGGATGATCATGTGACGTGCTTATGTAGCCTCTAAATAAATCCAACTTCTGTCAATAACAATGGCAAACACTTTAAGTTTTTTAAAAACTAGTTTCTATTCCCTGTCGTATTTTCATTGATCCTGTCTGCTGAGGAAGGCTCTTGGCCGAAACATTCTTCTCATATTGCCCTGTCTTTCGATTCAAGCTTTCACGAACCTTGATCTACTATTTCCTTGTTAAAAAGAACACATTTTAATTGAAATTTGTCTGACTTTGAACTTAAAAAAAAACATCTGGATCAACACAGCAGTGTTAATAAAATTATGGTATTCACAAGTATCCTTCGCCAGCTTGATAAGCCGACTGCAAATTGCGGTGATTGTCTTCCTTGGGGGGTGGGGGCGCTTTACAAACTCCATGACATCTGGCAAATATTAAACAGAAAATATATTGTGTTGCAGTAAAGGGGTCATGAATGTTGTCAAGATCCCTTTCTAACAAGTTTCCACTGAATCTACAGGCAGGCCTGATGTGGTGCACCGCGTATCTGGTGGCGATGTGGTGCCCCCATCTGATGGAGATGTGGTGCCACCATTGATGGCGATGTGGTGCCTCCATTTGATGGAGATGTGGTGCCCCCATCTGATGGCGATGTGGTGCCCCCATTAGATTGAGATGGGGGTGCCTCCATTTGATGGAGATGTGGTGCCCTCATTTGATGGAGATGGGGGTGACCCCATTTGATGGAGATGGGGGTGACCCGACTTGATGGAGATGCGTTGTCCCCTTATAACAAGTTATGGCACATGACTGAGTGAAAAAAACAACAACGCATCAATACAACATAAATGCATGTTTACTTCTAGAAAATGGTTTTACAAAACAAAAATCATTGATGAATAAAAAGATTTTAAGTGTTTACCTGATCATGCGAGAGTAACGATGAATGATCTATTATTATTATTATTATTAGTATGATGAATAAATTTAGTTACATTACTTGAATTGATTTTTTATGTATGTAACTTCTTTTAAAATTATCATTATCTATAACATAATGACATAAATTTCAAAAAGATTATTTTTAAAATTGTAATAAATCAAAGAAAACTTTTCAATTTAATGCATGTAAAAAAAAAAGTGTTTCTGTTAAGGCAAAGACTTTACAACATTTATTAAGAAAACCTTCCAAGATGTAGGATTTTACTTTAGCATGATTTTTATTTTTTAATTGGTGGGACATTTCACTAAGAAACACAAACAAAGCTAAAAACTTTACTGGAACAAATCTGCTTTATAATCTCATTAGATATAATAAAATTGTTTCTTCAGTTCCAGTTAAAGTTTTATATCCTTAGCACTATTGAGAAAGTTTAATTTATATTGTTAGGAAAAAGACATGAAATGTTGTTGTTAACAAATACACTCAAATGAATATAATTCAAAATTTTCAGTCTTTTCAATTAAATTCAGTATCCTTCCTAAACATATTAAAAAAAAAATCTTCATATCAGTTTTATAATGTTTAATTAAACATAAAGAAAACAGACAAACCTCTTTGCAAAAATGTAATATTTTGTTTTAATGGCTTATTTTACTTGAGATTTAAATGTGCAAATCAATTAATCGGAATTTTTAAAATTCTTTAAAAAAAAAAAAAAAAAAAATATAACAAATTAAAAATTTAAGTACTGGGGGGGGGGGATTTAAGTTAAGAATACAAATAATTTAATGTGAAAACAACATTTAAAACAAAATATATCCCAAAAATTTCCAATGTAACAACCTTGAGGATTAAACAAGACTCAAACGTCCATTGTCATACAAGGCATTTCTATTTATTTCTCAGGTATAACGTGTCGAATAGTTGACAATTAATTCAAGTATGTTTTGATGGCTGCTAAGCGTTTTTCTATAGACTGGTCAAAATTTTTATATAGATTTAAGAATTTATTAGAATTTCAAAAAAAGCCTATGATTTTAAAAAATGTGAGTGTCGTCTCATTATTTATCATTGCAATTTGATAATCTTGACAAATAGTTCATGTCTGAGAGATGATAAAGTCATACTTTTTCAGATTAAAACATGCTATGAATAATATGTCATGATGAAATAATCAAACATAAGTCAATAGCAATTTTTAAACCAAACAACCATTTAATTTATTTTCTTCTGGCCTTTTTTAATCATCATAATTTTTATTTTAAATCCTTTTTAAAATTAATTTTATTTAGGTCCAGTCAAAAAGCATTTTCTGAAGTGAAATAGAAGATACTGGTTTAATGAAAACACCGTAGGCCAACATTTTGTTAAAAATATAACCTTACTTGGATGAACCCTTTTTTCCCATGCTATTTGATCATTTTGGACGCATTGGTTTACTTCGTTTAACTTAAAATAACCCTCTTCATTATAATTTAAAATTATCATGAAGTCTGGGTAGGTGTCTAATAGAGTCACACAAACAATGTGAATCTCAAGTTTGCTCAGAAAGTTTCTCATCTCTACTGTGCAGTATGTTAACTTGGAATGTCATGTTATGTGGGACGGCAGGTTTGAATAAATGATTCTTTACTGAACAGTAAACACACATCAGGTGAAATCATTGATATGCAATAAAAAAGGATAATAATGTATAATGGAGTTGTTTTTTTAAAAAAAAAGGTTTTCAATATTTCATTGAACATTTTCAACAGAAAATCTCTACTTTATGCAAAAAAAGTTCCAAATATTTATCATAGTTACTGTGACATTAAGTGTTTTCTTTAGGTCCAACCAAAAAGCATTCTCTCAAGTGAAATATAGGATTGTGGTTTCATGAAAACACTGTACATTTTGTTAAAAATATAACTTTACAATGATCAACACTTTTTCCGTGCTATTTGATCATTTTGGACTTGTTAGTTTATTCCAACTTAAAATAAAAATATTCATTCTAATTTAAAGACCGATGATAAAGCCTGGGTAAGATTGCAAATTCATCAAAGTGTACCAATCTCATAAAATATTAAATAACTAATAAATGACAACACCTTATGTGCATGGTGAATTATCTTTCTTCTTCTCTGTTTATATTTATTGTTAAAATAGAATGGACCTTTTGTACATCATTTGAAACGTGTCACTATGAACATAAAGTAGCAGAATGCAGATTTTATTTTCAAATGGAAACTGCTGTCAATTAAAATCTGAAAATTTTTATCCTTTTAAAAACGATTTCTTCTGTTGTTGTACTAGTGTTATGAGCTAAGAGTGTAAGGCTTCCGGGCTCATTGTACACATTTCATCTGTAAGAAGTTGATATAACTTGTAAGAGAAATGGCAGACTACGAGATATGTTTGTGTAAGTCATCAATAAAAGATTGGCACACAACTTCTGTCTGGACATTCAGAGTATAATTCCCTTTTAAACAAACATACATCAGTAACAATAAAAATAAGACTTGTTCATATTTAAAATCTTGCAAAATTAAGTTTAATTGTTGCTTTTACTGGTCATGCATTAATGTTAAGACAATACATTACCAATGATAAGGTTTGGTGAATTGGGCAGAATAAAATTTTCAGATACCCCAAAAAAATATTTTTTGAAAATCAAACTTGTTAATGGTATATCAAAGAATTAAAAAAATATAAAAAAATTGTATGCTCTTATTATGCATTTATTTTAAATACCGGTACTGTTACTTAAAAATTTAGCACAAATAATTCTGTCTTAGGTCTTACTATAAAAATAAAAAAGTGAAGTTAAAATCCAACAAAATGTACTTACTTTAAACAATACTTTTGAACATTTATAGTTAAAATGCAGAACAATATGGCATGTTATCTTTTAGAAGAAAAATTTAATTGTTTAGAAAGTTCTGAATGTAGAACTATTTACTTCTATGCAGATAAAACAATACTCACTAATTGATGCTATTGTTGGTTGATTGGATGTCAAAATAATACTAGCTGCTGCTTTTCCTAGAGTCATTTATAATAATTAAATATTGAAATGCAAATGCTCTATAAATAATTATGAAAATGATTGAAAACATTCAATATGATATGTAAAACATTTGATTTCTTGCACAGAGATTTCAAAATGATGATTCATACATCTTCATACCTTGATATTATGTTTTTGTGGTGTATAATAACTTGGAGGGCTTATAAAAAAAATAGTTGTATCACTTTACGCTTATAAAATAAGAAAGTTTGGATACAGAATGAAATGTCTAATGTTGTGTATATTTCAAATATAAATACAGTCAAATAATAGAGAAAATTGCAGAGGCATCTCTGATAAACTACCACATATAAAATTAGCTTGTTAGAAAATAAGTATATTTTAAAGTTAGATTTTTTTAAAAACATAATTGAATTTGTTAAAGAAAATGTTTTTAAAAAAAATACTCATCAATAAATAATAAGTTGAATATTTCTCCTCGATAAAAATTCTTGATAAAAGTTAGACTGTGCTAATGTTGGCCATTTAACATTGGCATTGCAATAAAAATGATTCCCTTAAAAAAAGTGGCTTCTCATCTTTAACTTTTAATGCAGCCATTTGAACAAAAGTGGAAATGAAAAAATGTTAAAGGCTTGAGGCAATTACATCTTTAAATTCTCTCGTAACCTCTGTGTAATTTTTATACAGCTACTCAATATATTCTGCATTATAATTGTGAACATTGTATGGTGCTGTAATTATAATTTTTTACAATGAAATAAACAAACACTTTAGTTTATCTCTGTTTTCCCCCAAAAAAAATCTCTACACATAAAAGTTTTTAATAATTTTCAGGGTTTATGATGAACCAAAGGGTGTTAACTGGCTAAAAAGAGATGTTATAATAATAAATTAATTTCGCAAGTTATTGAGTCATTTATCTTTGTATAACTAAAGTAATGTTTTTCCCAGAACATTTTGTTTATAAATTACCTGTCTATGAAATGGAGAAAAAAAATGCATACCAGTACCCTTGTGTAATGAGAATATTTCTATGAGGCTGGAAAAATAAGTAGGTCTGAGTGTCAAGTCCTAAGAAATTCTCACCACATACATTTTCAATAATATTTTTAAAATCAAAATTATGATCAAGAATTTATCTTTGAAATATTTCTTTTTTTTTCTATTTATAATAATCCAAAAATAAGGATTAATATTTTTGTCAAATGAAAATGTCTTGGAACATACTTTTAAAAATAGAAAATGGAATATCCCATTTTCCAGATTCACATGTTACCATTATACTTCAAGTGTAAAGTTTTACAATGAAATAAAGTATATGGTATCAGTATCAGCTTTAGAGATTAAATTGAAGAACAACTTTCTAAATTTTATGTACATTTATTTCACTTGAATTATGTTAACACCCTCTGGTTTATGTTAACTTCTTAAAATGTCAACAAATCAAAAGATAACACATGCCTCAATAAAAAAAAAAAGAACTTTTTTCATTAAGCAAACAAAATGTATCATTTGGTCACTACTGACTTCTGAACCACTCATTGTTCACTTTCAGGCATTAACTAAGGGTATTTAAATCTCATTTCTTTTTGTTGTTGCATGTTTTTGTCATCCATTCCACACCTTCCTGTAAAGACATCAATTAAATAGTTTTAAATTCATGCTCAGCACTGTATAAGTTAGTGATCATAAAACATTACTTAAAAAAATTAAGTAATGACTTACTTTAGTGAAAGGAAGAGGTTTTTAAGAAATTATAAATATATCACACCAAATTATATCTAACAAGGGAATTTGAGGTCTATAATCTTTAAATTAAAATGGCCGGTTGAAATCCTTAATTTTTTAAAAACAATAAATATATCACACCAATTTATCTAACAAGGAAATTTGAGGATTAAAATTGCAGGTTGAAATCCTTGATTTTTAAAAAATGCATTAATTCATCACAGAACAGGATTAAAAAGCAAGAGGTCTTTTTCAGTTCTTTGCTTTGTTTCACATAAAGACTTGCTGAATTTTTTGTATTTTAAATAATTTTCTTAGATTTATTGCCACAGGCACAAAACACCTCCAACACACCCCCCCCCCCACATCCATTATTACATCATGATTATTTAACATTGGGTCATATTTCTGTATAGGGAATGTTAAATAATTTAAAAATGCTTTATGCTACACAAAAAACTAAACCTTTGGAATTTTTTTTTTTTAAAGATTGAAAGGATAGAAAAACAACAGAAGGTCTCAAGAATTAAAAAATTCTTTTTTTAGAATTAAAATGAAAAAAAAATCAAGCAACCCTACCTTGATTCCTTCCCCTGACACAGCAGAGCAGGCCTGGATCTGCCACTCCCTGTCCCTTATTGAGTTTAAATTTAGACCTTCAGCTATTTCACTGGCCCTGGCTGCAGTAAGAAGGTCTTGTTTGTTGGCAAAGATCAGCACTGGAACCCCAGCAAGCTTCTCTTCCTCTAAAAGTTCTGTTAGTTCCTATGGAAGCAACAGTGCACACAAAAGGCCAAAACTAAATGAATCAAAATAGATTTTCATATTATAGCTTTCTGATGTAATACTGGAAAATGTTTGAGTTCCTAAACTCATTTATTTTATGCAATTCTGTACAACAAAGAAATGTGACTATGTAAACACGCAAATTCATCTTCATCAACTAAAATCAATTCCCTTTTTCAAAATAACTTGTGACATAAGGGGGCCCATCCATAAATGATACAACTGTGGGGTGTAATGAATTTGTGATTAAAAAAAAAAAAAAAAATTGTGGAGGGAGAGTAAAATATGCTGATAAAGAATAAAAATCATTTATGGATAGTCCTAAAATTAGTAATGTTATCCTTTTTAATTGAAGATAAAAATTAACAAATAATAACAAAAAAGGTGAAAAAATAATGAAACCGTTTCAAACTTTATACCAACACTTGGATCAAAAAGCTTATTTGCAAATGTAAACTCTCTGATTTTTCTACTCTATGAGCAACTACATTTTCTTTTTTATTACCACAGACTCAAAACCATTCATTAGTTTCACTTTGAAAGTCAATTCATAATTGCAAGTGATACTGCTTTATATAGAACTTAAACCTGAATAAAATCATGTAAAAAAACAAACTAAGGTGCATCACTGGAAACTGAGTAAAAAAAAATCTTACCTCCCCTGTCTCTTCAAATCGTTTCCTGTCTGCACTGTCTATGACATAGATCTATGAAGCAGATGTTTTTAAAATATTTTTAGCATTTCAAATAACAAAAAATGTATGGCTTAAAGATGCCATCAAATAATTTTTTTTTTTTTTTAAATGTCTCTGATCTTTGAAAAAAAATTCATAAGAATGCTAAAATTATTTCAAGACTAACCAACAAATCTGTGTTTTCAAAGTAATTTCTCCAATAGGGTCTAATCCTCCTTTGTCCACCTATATCCCATACATTCAACTTGAAACCTTTAGATTGCACAGATTTAATGTTGAAACCCTGGAAACAGTCAAAAGAAATAAAACTAGCATATGATCAAACACTAAATTTTAGAAAGAGAAGGTGGAAAAAGATTTTTAAATGATATAATAAATATTTAAAAAACGAATCCCATTGAGATGAACTAAGTTCTATCAGGATCTGTTAGATGAGAAGAATTTGAGTTAGAAGGTGGGGGCCTTATTGTTGCTTTGAAAAAAATGTTTTTAATTTTTGTAAATAATGCACAAGACTTTGCTCAGTAAGAATGCTAAAGTTTGTCACAACAGTTTCCATTTTAATCTGATCTCAAATATGGCTCAAGCATATAAAGTTAACATTTAAAAAAAATGGCTGACTTGTGTAGGCGTGATATGTGTTATATCTTCTGACGCTAAAACTTTCAGTAGTGTTGTTTTTCCAGCATTGTCCAGGCCAAGTAAAAGAATTCTCAACTCTAGGTCAGGGTTGGACCTCAGTTTTCTCAGTAGTGATAGCAAGCCCTGGAAAAGAGAGTCAGTCTCAATGGATCACATATTATGAATGCAAATTAGTGCTAGCAATAATTTCATAATAGATCTTTCCAATTTTTTTTATTGTACAGAGAGAGAATATGATAGAAAGGGACTGAAAGATTTTTAAATTAATGAAAAAATGTTCTGACTTTTTTAAATATTATTCTTAACAATCCTATGTTTTATTAAAATAGTGTCTTATTTTAACAATGACATAATAATGTTGTCATGAAAACAAACAAAATTTCAGCTATAAAATTAAGGATTTAGACTGAATGTCCAAGAAACTTAAATATGTTTCATTTAATTCATTTTTAAAAATATTTTCTACACATACTTTCTTTGTTCTTGAAAATGTCTATATAATATCAGTATCATTTCAAAGTGAAAATTACAACATTTTGAAATTTATAAATTAATCAATAGATCATTCATCTTAATGAAACTTAGTTTTTTTGTGAAAATTAAAATGAGTTTGCCAAAATGTTTGTAAACAGTATTAAACATTTTAAAACCAGGGGTAAAAATTTCACTCAAAATTATTGAGACTATGAATTTATATAGATCTTACACAGTGTGTCTTAACACGTGTATGTGTTTTTGGTTAATGAATTTGTAAAGCCAACTACTGGTGAGTTCAAGTAATAGAAAATAACTTTATAAAATCACACTTCAAAAGCAGTAATTGTGCTGGCATGAGTATTCAGAAGAAAGATAATACAATATTATTTATTCCTTGTGTAAAATGAGAAAAACCAAAAGAGCAAGTTACACATTGCTGGATTCAACATAAAATATTATGACCAATACCTTCATGGATTTAAAATTGCCAGATGTACTGCTTCAAATAATGAACACATGAGTTGAAGTAAAAGCCATAAATACAAAATTTTCTAAATATTCTGCACAGACATGGTGTTTGAAGTAAATCATTATTTCACACAAATACAAGTTGTGTTTCCAGATTTAAAGATGTCCCAAGATTATTTGACCATCACCATGAGGAAGTCAAATTCATGTTAATAAAAACATGCCTGACCAAATCCTTAAAGATTATCACCAGGCAGTGAAATGTGGATGCATGACTTGCCTTTAAAAAAAATCTGAATGATCTCAATAAAAACAAAGTCTGAATAAGAATTTCCTAAAATGAGCTAAAACAAAAACTTTACCTGTTGCAAAGAAGTTAAGCCAAGAATCATAAGGTATGGACACATGGTTAAAAAAAAATATAACCTGACTACCGTAACAAAGAAGCTGGGTATAATGAATTTTGCTCAACATCTAACTTTGCTCCAAACAATTTTGACCAATACTTTGACACAATTAATGTGATGCATACAGTGGGGTCCAAAAACACCTTGTATCACATCGGTACTTGTAAAATACCACAAAATTTTCACAGAGCACCATTATGGTTTTGTAGGGTTTTTGGACTTGATGAATGAAGAAATGTTGAAATTCAAGTTCACTGAAGTTCCATAGAATTTTTCTACATTTCAGTCTGCGAATAATATTCTTGAATTTCCAAGAACCCATTGCACTTAATGAGCATTTTCAAGAAGTGTTTGGAATCTTGTTTTATGAATGATAAATGTTGGTTTATCAGATATTTACCTAGATATACATAATCTATATTAGTTTATATTGTGTGATTTGAATTGGGGTATGCTGCATAGTTTTGGAATGGGCTAGCTGTGGCCAGTGCTGGGCTTGAAAAAAATTGTTTGTGGAGCAATGCAATGTTAAAATTGCATTTCCGACTAGGTCTAGTCACCTGCACCCTGGGTGGATGGGACTCAACCTTGGATGGCAACTCATTTCAGACTAGCTCTAGGCTAGGCATGTGTCCTGGGTAGCTGAGCAGTCTAAACGAGTCAATCGCACACTAGTGGATTTGAGTTCAATCCCCAGAAAATGGCTATTCAAGCAAACTAAAACATCACCAGTACCCCGGATGGATAAGAATCATTAACCTTGCATGGCTATTCATCTAAGAGAATGCAAACTCTGAAATAAAAACCCAGAGATGGAGTCCTGTGGCTGTTATGACATTGATACTATGAAAATTCTGACAACTCCTACAATGCAGAATGCATAAAGGCACAGGGAAACACACAAGACTCACTGCTGGTCATCTACTGCATCCTTGTCTATTTCCAGTCATCTGGAAGTACAGCTCAAGTCAAGGTTACTACTCAAGTCAAAAAATGTCTTGGTCATCTTCATGTATGAAGGACGAACAACAACAGACTAGGCCTAAGTCATATTACGAACAACAGACTTGGTCTAAGTCATGTTGTAGTTAGTAGTAGCCTAAGGCTTAAGGCTAAGGCCTAATACTAATACTAATGTAATTTAATTAAAGTAGTAAGTAAGTTTTATTTATACTTATACTACTATTTATTACTAGGCCCAACTGTAACCACAGGACAAGGACTTCAAAGAGTAATCGGAGTAATCTACAAAGACGTCAAAGATTAGCCGAAGTGGTTAACTACTTAAGTAAAAATTGTCTAAATTCTTAACAAACACACAAGCACTAGCTCTAAACTCTAAATCTAAATTACTTTAAAAGTTTGTGTAGGCTACGGCAGTTTTTAAAAATAACTAAACTCTTATACAAGTTACAGTTTTTCTTTGATCTACCCTTCTTTAAATTAATAACATTATTTAGCGCTTCTTTTGAAGTTATGATACAAATTTGCAGCTTAACATGTATTACTACATACCATAATTTGAGAACAGTGAAAAAATTTCACGCTTTGCTTTCGGCTTCTCAGTAACTACGCGTGACGTCATCAGTTTATGTGAACACATCAGACATTTCTTCGATTTTTCTTGCAGAAGAATGCATATTTTTAAGGGAGATAATTCTGTAATATAATAATTTTAAAGTTACGCTACTCTAATCATTATTATTTAGAGAAAGCAACATTTCCTTTATCAAAGTCTAAATCATTGAACAAGCAAGTTAGCAGCTGTTGACATTTTGGCCCGACATTTTATTTAAATAATATTAAAATTGTAGAAAGGCAAGATTATATGAATATTAATAGTTTAAGATTTTGGAACTATAAACTGAACCAAAATCAAACTAGTGACTCACTGAAGTCACTGTGACTGTGACTACTGTGAGGAGAGTCAAACTGAATTCAAATTCAAACCAACCCTTGTAAACTTTTCACAATATTCAACATGTGATAGTTTATACATTTCTAGCATTGCCTAAATTAAATAAATATTTATCATTGCAATATTTTTCAGAAGAATCAGCATGGCAAGATTGCTTTCAAATAATTCAAGTGAAAACAGAATTGACCTCAGCAAATCTCCATATGATCAATCAACATTTATGGGCCGTCTTCGTTACTTTGCATGGGTAACAGATCCAAGATTGACCATTATTCCTTCAAAACAAATATATGAATCGAAAGAGTTGCTTGAAAAATACAGGTTGGATTGCATTTGATGGTTGTTTGGCACTGCAAAGTATATTTTATTACGTAGTGTAACGTAGCCTATATTAAAGAACAATTTAGCATCACTATCACACACAAAAAATAGACTCAACTTAACCTTTCAAAGCAGGGATTAATTTCCATAATGAAATCTTAAGATTTTGTCGACAAAGGTAAAGCGCATTAAAAATTTTAATATTAAACTTTTTTAATCTAAAAGAATATTACCAAAATTAACCTGAATTATATGCTTACTAATAATATATATATATATATATATATATATATATTTAGACATTGTCAAGAGCCTGCTGGGACTACAGAGAAACAGATAAGAAGGGCACAGCAAATTTACCTTTCAGCCTTCCATCCTGACTCTGGTGACTTGCAAAATCTTTTTGGCAGGATGTCCTTCCAAGTTCCAGGAGGCATGGTGCTAATTGGAGCTATGATTACATTTTACAAGTAAAAATCATTTAATCTAATGAAACTATGCATTAAAATACTTATTAAGAGTATATGGCTTTTAAAAATAATCTTTAGTTAAAAATATTAAAGATATAACAATTTTTTTAACATATCTTTTTGCAGGTCAACAGGAGCAGTTATATTTTGGCAATGGGCCAACCAGTCATTTAATGCCTTGGTCAATTACACAAACAGTAATGCAACAATGGAGGTTAATAATAAGTAAGTTGGTGTTGAGTTTCTGTTTTTTTTTTTAAATTATTTTCTGTGAAGGAAATCAATCCATCATAAATTGTTTTCTTGAAACAATCTAAATATGGTGATCCACAAAATTTTTTTTACAAGTAGTTATGTTTCCATGCTGAATAAAATGTGATGTATCAGTATTTAGTCCTGTCCAGTGTCTAGCCTGCACTTTCTTTTCTCAAGACAGCTAGCAACTGCCTATGTCAGTGCAACAACATCAGCTTTGGTTGTTGCCCTTGGCTTAAAAAAGGTTTTGGCTACAGTAAGTTTTGTTTTCTCTCCTCTCTTGCTTATTTTCTTGGCTAAAGCAGAAATCATTCAGCTTCGACTCTTCACTAGTAATGTGCACAAAACCATATCAAAGTTTTCAAAACTAAACACATTGAAGTTATCGTCTTTCAGAAAATTTGAAATGCTTTTAATCATCATATCAATTATTTCAGCTTTAAATTCTCTTGCTTGCCGTTTTCATTATTTGCTTGGGCAAATGTACACAACTTAAATAAATCCTGTGTAAAGCATATATAAATGTGTACCATTTTTTACTGCAGCGAGCCAGTCCTTTAGTTCAGAGATTTGTACCATTTGCTGCTGTGGCAGCTGCCAATGCTGTAAATATTCCATTAATGAGGCAAAGGTAAGTTTGATAAATTATGCTACACATATTATTATAAAAATAAAAATAGCACCATACAGTTAAAGCAATAAGAAAATTATTTTCATTGGTAGTTAATAGCTCACAAATGTAAAGTAAATAGTAGAACAAGATATGTGGAAGTTTGAATAGAAAGACTGGACAATAAAAAATAACGTTTCAGCTGGCAGGACAAATGAAAAATGGCATTTTCCTGTCTGCTGAGGAAGACTCTTAGTCCAAACGTTCTGCTTTTAGTGTCCTGTCTTTCTTTTCAAGCTTCCAGAAACCTTGTTTTATTATTTCCTTCACACAGCTTGAGCACAGTCCTTCATTTATTATCATTTATTATCAAAAATGTAATTTTACTTTGTTGTGAAATCTTCAGAAATAAACATATTCCAATGTGACCTGTAATAATTTAACCCACATAAGTTATTTGTGTTCTATTTCATGCACATCTGTTGGTAGAACTGTGCCATCTACTTCCTGTAAAATCACAAATTACAGTGTAATATTACTTACAGGAGTTTTATTTTCCTATGAGCTCAAATTAATATCCTTAAAAACTTTTTTAAAATTCTAAAAAAATTTTTTATGTACCGGTAATATATTCATGATTGGCACCATTATTTTGCTTTTTCTCTTAAAATAAATTAAAACTTCTAGTGAACTTGTTGATGGGATACTTGTGTGTGATGAAAATGGAAACCCAATAACCAAGTCAAAAGTAGGCCTACTACTATTTCTAAATTTGTTTGAAAGATATATAAAAGCAATTTTTGTTGTTGTGAGCAATGCAGATAAGTTATTGCTTTGTACTACATTAAGTGATTTCACTTCTTCTTTTCCATTAATAATCAAAAGTTATATTTCATATGCAACGAGGTGTAAACAACAATAATTTATTTTTTTTTGTAACTGGAGTTACTGTCTGTTTATTTACTCCTAGTATGCAGCTGTTAAGGGTATTGGCCAGGTGCTAATATCAAGGATTTTTATTGCTGCACCCAGCATGAGTAAGTTTTCTCTTGTATGTTTAGTAATATGGAATGAAACAAGAAAGAATTTTAATAAGTTTAAATCTGATGACTTTGCTTAAGCTAACCAGTTGTGGTTCAATATAATTATCTAGGTATACATAATTCTAGGTACACAGAATTGTAAGCTAAAATATTTCAATTTTTTTTAAATTATATGAACTGAAGCCCCTACCAGTGTGGGTTCTATAATATATATTATAGAATGTAAAATTTTTTTTTAAAGATGTCTCACCTTTTAATTTCATTCACAGCTGTGTTACCCGTCTTGATGGAAAGATTGGAGAAGACAAAATTGTTTCGTCGTCATGGATGGTTGAGTGGAGCTTGTCAAGTTTTATTTTCTGGTCTTTTGTAAGGACAAACAGCCTTTATTATTTAAATTGTCTCTTCTATAATAATTATTAAAAACCTACTTCCTCTTTTGTCTTGTTTTTTTTATGAGATCAATATAATTAATATAATTATTTATATGTACTATTTGAAGATTTTTAGGAAAAGACACTAGGCAAATGCATTTTTGCTGTATTTTCTTTTAGATATCATATGAGAAAATATGTTGCTTTTGGTACGTAATGTCATTTTATTTTAAATTTCAGATTGCTAATAACTGTGCCTGTGGGCTGCGCTATTTTCCCACAAAGGTGGTAAGTTCGATATGGTTGTACTGATTCAGAATGGTTCATAAATGTACTTTATAGGATATGATCTATTCTGCAAAATAAGAATTTAATATAATTTACCATGGAAAATTTTAATAAAAGAGAATTACAAATTAGAACATAGGGCTAATCTTTTAGGTGTAAATTAGACAATATATTTTTAAAATGTTTTTAATATGTTCCTGATAGGTAAAACTAAGTTATACAAATTTATAAGACCAGGAGATATTAATGTTAAAAAAAAAAATGTGTTGTTAATCTTCTGGATTCTATATTTTGTCTCTATGTTTATTAAAGGCTTCTCATTAAAATTTTCTAATCTGACAGCTCCATATCTTCGAGTCAGTTATCCATTCTTGATCACAAGCGGGTTGAGGAGTTAAGGAAGGCTGGCTCAGTCAATCTACCAGAGAGGCTGTACTTTAACAAAGGCTTGTAATCAGTTGTAGCTTTGTATCATTTCCATTCTCGGACCAACTTGCATTGTTGGAACCACTGATATTATTGGACCTCCTGGGAGTATCGGACCTTCAGACATTGGACCCACAGATGGATAGTGATGGACTACTGCTGACTTCATTAGTTCTATTGAGATCATTGGACACACTAAAATATATTGACCAGTTGACATTTTTGGGCCCACTAACCTTATAATTACTGGACCTAATGACATTATTATATCTACTGACATTGAATTAACTGACATTGTTCTACCCACTGACATTATTCTACCCACTGACATTATTCTACTAACTGACATTATTGGGCCATCTAATATTATTGGACCCACACCACTTTATGACTAAATTGGGTAAAAATATATCATGATTAGGCCCTAGAGTTAACTCATTAATCTTATTGAAAATGCACCTCAAAAGGTGTTCCAAAGAGTGCAGCTAAATTTGACAAATTCTTTTATTGATATCTCAGGCATAGGCACAACAATACTTATTTTTTGGTTGTCACACAAGCTGGTCCTGTCCATTTCAGAAAACTTTGACATTTTTAGATGAGAAGTATGTAATAGTGGCAGCCAGGAAATATTTATTAGCAATATGTTCTTGTAAGAACAAAAGAAACAAAAGAAACTACTGTTTTCCAAAAAAGTTTATTAACTTTAACTATATGGACAATTTAAAAAAAAATTATATATACATCTGTTAATGATGAGATTGTGTCAAAGGTTTTAACATTTATATTTAATGTTTAAATAGAGGATTTACTAATATGTTTTTGAACAGATTATTCTTACACTTTTTATGTACACATGTAAATGCTATCATTGGACTAAAAGTATGTTAATGCATTTTTGAAACATTTCAGTTGTTTGCCATTTTGTCACTAACATAGTTTAATAAACATATACTCACCATTCATGTTACCAGGTAACATTAATGAGGCATTACAACTATACTTGTACATTATAGTTTGTGGAATGATAAGATTTGTCTTTCTGACATATGTTGCCAGTTTTTACTAATGAATAAATAAGGCCTAATACCTACCAAATGTGCAAAAAATCAAACAAATAATTAATACTGACAATACTTAATGAGAACAATGGCTATTCCATAATGCATTGTAATGTATTTTGTGTGTGTCCTTTTCATATGTTCATTATTTTGATGGAACTTGTTAAAAAAAATCAATAATTCTGTCTACACTCATTTCACTTCATGTTGACCAGAGTGTGTTATTTATTTATTTCAATGGGTTATTTTGAATATAGCAGCATACAATTTGAGCTCATTTATTGTATCTGTAACTTCCAAGAACCTTACTCTTTTTATATTATATTTTTTTATTACAGTTTAATATCTAGCTTATAAGGGAATGTTAAAGCTATGTAATTAAATCATTGGAGTTTTTTGGACTATTATTTACAATGGTTGTAGTTTTATTACTTCAAATCGGTTGAATTTTGTACCGGTTAATGAGAAAAATCTTATGGTAATAAGTGACATAGCTAGTTACAAAGATTACACTATATTTGTTTGGTACTTGCATTATAGAGTAAGATATTTATAAATACTTAAAAGATTTTTTTCTCAAGTATTGAAAAAAACAAAAAAACAAAAAAACAAAAAAACAAAAAAACAATTGAAGCCAACATGATTATTTAAAAGAATGAATGGTTACACAGTTACTCATTCAAAACTTATCTTTGTCTGTACCCAGGCTTTATACTTGTTTGCTTGTATTGTAATTATAAAAGAGAAGGTGTATTTCTGGTGGTGGAATTTTATTTGTTTTAACAGAGAACCGGATAATTAATTTTTATTATCCATTTTCCTAGTCATTCTCACAGAACGTATATTTAATATAATTTAAGTGGCTTATGGCTGATCTTACTATACTTATACAACTATTTGTTCCATAAAATTTCAATAAAATATCTAGATATTTATATTCTGAATATCATATTTAATTTCTATTTACATAGAAATTGACCTCTTTCTTTAATAAGATGTATTATTGTGTTGGTTATTCCTTGAATCAAAATCTTTCCGGGGCATTCTTTAACATTAACAGTTGCGTACTAAGATATGAATTTTATGTAAGTGCTGCTACCTTATGTTGTAGCAGGAATGTATGCATTATTATTACAATTATTTTTTAACCAAACATTGAACTTGCTGATGGATGATATTTTTTTTTACCTAACCAAAGATTATTTTCTATAATTATTGGTAAGGATGGAATTATTTTAAATGAAGAACAAATAAATTAATTTATAATCCAATACAATTTTTAAAAAAAATAATTTTCAATAAAATTTGCTTAATTTGTATTCTTCATCTAAGACCCAGACCCTCAACCCATGGGTCAGGACCCAAAAAAAATTTCTTCTTGATTATTTTATCCTGCTATTAAAATTTAATCAATTTCATTGTATCTCAAACCAAAAAGGTAAAGAAATTTTTGTTAGGCTTTGATTTTTTTAAAAAGAATAATTGCAAACTGAGGAGTTCTGAAAAATGTGAGAACCATTTAATGCGTTTATAGTTTATAGGTAAAAAACCATGGTACCTTAAAACTGTCAGCGCACTTTCAAAAACTTCAACCTGTGTGTGTACCTGTGCCTCCAGTTAGACTACTATTAAAGAGCCCAAACCATTTTTCGCTAATGCTAAAAAACTAATGTTTTTATTTTTTTATTTTAAGGAAAACAAAATATAAACTGGTAATTATTTTGAATTGAGAAATGATTAAGGAACGTCACTTCTGTCTATCATCAGATTCTGTGGGAGCCATCTGCTGGGTCAGTTTTCTTATCTGGAGTTATTTTGCTGTCATTTAGTTTTCCAAGGCTGTCCACCTTGGTACTGTCTTTGGAAGTGAGCTTGCCAGCATACTAAAAACATGACCAGCCAATCCCTTGTAATGTGCTTGCACTGCTAATTATGAATAAATAAAACGAAAACTCTTACAATTATTATTTTATTTTGGTATGAAAAGAAAATTGAAAGAAAAAAAAGTTCAGTAAAATCTTACATAAAACCATCTTTTATTTACATACTGCTGAAGCCGTAACCACACTTTTACAAATGTGTGATTTTCCTTATATTAATCCAATAAAAAGTCTTAATTAACAAACCATTATAACACCTATATAACTTTTTCCCCCTCACATTGTTAATGTAAACTTAAAAATGTAAAAAAAGCACGTAATTTTCATTTATTTTTTTACAAACTGTAGAACTCTGATTATCATAGCTTACCTCGATAGTGGTTGTTTATTTTGATTATTTGAAAAATCTTGGATAATATATAGAATAAAACCAGAATGCAAATTTTTTTTTTTACAAGTTAAATTTGGAAAATATATTGTTCAAGTAAAGAAAAAATAATAATTTTTAAACAAAAAGAATTATCTTAAATTATTTCATTTTAATGCATTTTAATTAGTGTACTCAATGTAAAGGGCAAAATTATTATTAAGGGAGGTGAGGTATTAATGGTTTGGATACTTGAACTTGAAGATCTTCTATTATTTTTTATAAGGATTAAAATACAGATACTGAATGTACTCTTAAATATCATTAGTGCGAGGTCCTTATTGATATCAAACAACATACCCAAATATATATTTTTTGTCTATACTTCTCACATCAGTCAACGAAAAGTATAAGTCAAAGTTGAGCTTTTTTATTTTTCAAAACTTTAAAAAAACATTTTTAAATAAATTTTTCAGATAAACTCTTGCAACTAGGATGTGATATTTTCTATGTGAACCTAGAAGTTTCAGAGTATACAATCTCATTCTTAACCCATATGTGGATTCTAAAAAAACAAAAAAAGTGTTAGTAAAACTAGTAAAAAAAACAGTGCTTACGGTAAATTAAAAAAAAAAAAAAAAATCTGCTTTCAAACTTTAAGTTTAAGGCACAATTAAGAAATAACAACTCAAGAGAAGTTTGACAAAAGCTCTCATTAATAAGGTTTCAAGAGTAAAATGTATATTTTGTACAGGGGTATCCAGCTTGTTTTGTTTCAGACCAAAAAATTTCTCATAGAGTAACCGTATACTTTTATCATATCTTATCTTATGTCAGAGACTTTGTATGTTTGGACGAGAGATCAAAAACACCTCCTGGATACTAATAACAACTCTGTTTTTAGATCTTATTATAAATCACATTCCTGGCACAATAAAAAACCCATGATTGTCCCCTCTTCATTCACAACAAAATTTTATGGCAATCAAGTCGAAAGGCACTTGAACTAATTTTCTGTAAATGTTGAGGTAAAATCCTTTTTTAAAGTTACTAATGATATAAAATTTTATTATCTGATACATACAATCTTTTCTGGGTCCACAAAAGTAATTATGGCATTAGCATTAACCCAAATACTTATAAATTGTCAGCCTGGGGACATTTGAAAGAGTTGTATTGAAAAAAAAGTTTGTTTTTTTTCTCTTAAAACTGTGCAACATGTTCTTTTTTTTACAATATAAAAGGTGGTGGCAAGACAGAATTAATGAGAATGGATTATCTACAAAATAAATGATGGAAAAAAATTTTTTTTTACTGCTTAAACTTAGATTAAACCTATTTAAAAACAAATTGGAAAAAAATTGAGCTGGAAAAAATGTAAATATTTACATAGAAATTAAAAATTTTTAAAAAGAGAAAATAGTAAAATGTTTAAGAGAGTAACAGGAAAAAAAAAAGAAGAGATTTTTATTAAATATAAATGCACAAGTCGAAATGTGAGCATTGTCTATAAATGTGAAGAAGTGTCTACATTATAGACTAACTGTTTTACTGTAGTTTGTTCACGACAAATAGATATTTATATATAAAATACTGTTGAAGCTGTAATGTGTAATTTGCCTCATATTAATGTAATATACCCAGTATATATTATATTATAATTATATATATATGTGTGTGTGTGTGACACTGATTGATAAAAGATAGGTAACGGTTGTCATATATATAATAACTTTTTAAAACTCTTCCTGAAGTTTAAAGTATTCTTTATGTTCATTTTCACACAGTTTATATGTAGATGGTATAATGTTCCCCATTTTATTGCTCCGAGTGTATAGACATGAAGGAGACACAAAATTGGCATCCCTAATCATATTACCAGAAGCATGATCAATAAGCAACATTAAGTGTGCGTTATTATTATTTTTATTTTCTTCATAGCTCACATGAATTATTTCGCAAAGGATTTTGTTTCGTATTTTCAAGTAACTTATACTTTGAACTCCTCACTTGTTAAAATGGCTCTAAATCTAAAAGGTTTGCTTTTTTTCTTTGCATTAAAAATATTGAGGTAAATGATTATAGTATTTATCACGCAAGTTACAAATCTCCAGTGTTTAAATACACACCCTATAATTAAAACCCCAAAACAAATACAAACACATCTTTGATTACAAAATCATTTTAGGTGACTTCCCATTGCTCAATGTTTTATGATCATACTGTTTAAGAAGAAAAAATCTCTGGCTACAAAAAGATAATTAAAAGAATTTAATTTAAAAGAAAAAGAAAACTGTCATTTATAGAAAGCAGACAAATGATTCATAAAAATTAAAGTCACAAGTCACGGTAGGTTTGTGGTGTGTGCTACAGGGGGGGGGGGGTGGGTTAGAAAGGACACACTCACAAATAAATGTTTCTCAGCATGTGTCCAGTGAGTGACACTGGTGGGCTGTGATAAGGTGGGGAGGGGTCAAGCAGCTTTGTGACAGGCAGCACTATCGACATGCCTGATACAGAATCTACACTCTTTACTTTTAGTGCGCTGGGATAAAATTCTTTGCTGACCTCCATCAAAATTGGGTCCTGCTTGAGGATGGTCTTAGTGGATTAAGCCCCGCACCCACTTTGCTGGGGTCAACACATTAGCAGGACAATGGGAAGGTGCTGGCATTTCTCACAAGTGGATAAAGCCCTTTAGTAATGGGGCAACCTGGAATATTTCTAAAAAAATTACTCATAGCATGGGAAGCTCCAAGATTTTTATACTAAATAGTTACATTGTTTGGTTGTGTCCTTTTTTTTCCATGTCTTTCCATACTTTTGTTGAGCTTATTTCCTTATAATAAACAACTTTTTTTTTTTTAATTGGCCTTATAAATAATAGTCATTCTATTTATTTATTAAAGATAAGGAATAGGAGTTTCTTTCTGGAAGGTGAATACATAGAAAGATGATGCTTTTGTAGATCAGGGAGTCTGAAGATTAAAAATATATGTAATAATCAATTGTAAAATAAACACTCAAAGAAGCAGTGTGTGTGAAAAGATAAACCATACTTCAACAATGAATCAGGTATCATTTGAGTCCAAGTAAAATACAAATATGGATTTTTAAAAAAAAAACAATGTCATTTGAAATAACAACATGGAAATTTTTTCCTTAAGAAGTAGTAGCAAGGATGTGAAACATCTTGGTAATTAATGGCAAACAAATGAATATAGTTGAAATCATGATCATAGAATTTTATTTTGTAAATAAAAAGAAGAGACAATGGTAGAGTTTTTTTCCCTTATCATTTCTCCACACAAAACAAAGAGGGAATGATTTTGGAGATTTAGTGAATAATGTACGGCCGAGTGAATCGATGAATGGAATAAAGATGGGATGAATTTAATAATAGATATTAATGAGAAAGGGAATAGTGAATTGAGTGAATTATAGACTCAATGAATCACATACAGTTAATAAGTAATTGTAATAGACTCACAATGAGTTAAGTATATGATTGCAACAGTCTCAATGAATCCAGATATACAAAATTAAAATCAGAAGAAAACAACAAGCCAAAAAGCTAATTTGCAAGCTACATCACAAAAAAGAGAGAAAAGATATTAAGGCAAGATATTTAAAGAAAATAATATTGGGGCAAAAATTACATATGTATTGATGATTAAACACAACCATTACAATTTGCCATTTTTAAAAACTTGCAAAACAATCACAACATTTTGGAGTAGCTGCTTGGATCTTAGTGAATCAACTTTAGCAATTCACAAAATTTGACTTTCTCATGGGGTATTTGAATTATATATGCACTTTGCACAGCTATAAATGAAATTTATTATGTAAATGAATTTTTAAAAATAAGATAATTCTTAGTTTCCCATTGGTTCACAGATTTATTCCCCTATCTCTCATGTCATATTAAGCTCTTCGTGGGCCTCTTGTCACAGCCAACAAAAGGGCCCATATCTAAACATAACAGCAGTTCCTGTAAACATCAGAAAATAATATACTGAGGCATCCAAGGGCTGGGGGCACAGGCTCTTTTCTTGTGTCTTTGGTATAAGCCCAGTAACATGAGCAATAACAAAAATAAAGTTCGCAATGTATCATGTGAAACCAGTTGTTTTTTTTTTCTACACATGGTTTTGAGTCAATTTAAAGGCTAGAAATTAGAAATAAAAGAGACAGATTTCAAATAAGGAGTTAGGTGACAATTAAACAAAAAAGCAAGATAAAACAATTTAATAAAAAAACTAGCTCTAACCAAGTAAATAGTTACAGTTCTTAAAATATATTTACATGAATGCTGACTGAGAATTACATCAGTCAACAATTATTGGACCAGATCTCTGTCTCCAACTAAAATAATTAACTGATAATTTTTTGAGAAACTCCCTAAAAAAAATCTTAGTGATCGAGTGGTAGCAAGAAATATAAAATCATCATCCAGTCATAACTGGCTGACATCAAATTAACACAATACGAATAGCTCCAGCAGTTCATGAGTACTTTCTAATTAATAACAATATGGCTTTAATCATGATAACAAATGTCTTGACTCAACAAAAATTGTATTCCAATGTGCAGGCAATCTTAATTGATTACCTACTCAATTGCATTCTACTGGTCGGAAACACAGACCATAATTGCATCACACCATCAGCCACTTGCATCACACCATCTAAGGGAAGGAAAACTCTGTGGAGTCACACAATTTTAAGCTTATACCCCTAAAGAAAAATCCCAGGCCTTGCGATTTCGTCCCGGGACGTCACATTGTGACAGACGGATGCCAAAAAAAAAAAAGAATAAAAAACTAATATAAAATCTTAATGACGTGTGATCCCAGCAGATCTTTGGTATTCCAATTCACTCTCTAATTATTAGCTGTTAATATTACTAGATACATTGGACTGAATTCATACATAAGTAGACACTGAGTATTGCAGAGAAAATATAGAAAATACGACATTAAATTATTCATTTGAAGTTAGTCAAATTAAAAACAAAAACACCTGGAGTGTGATGTAAAAAAACAAAAAAATTTTGAATAAAACAGCTGCAATAGGGATACATTTGCAAGTGGGCTGACCTTTTAAGCAACATGATATTCATCAGCCCTGGCGCTAACAAAAAAAGGCTAGGCTAGTGTTACAAAAATGATTGTGCTCCAAATTAAAAGAAAATTGAGGAAAATAAAATGTCAGGATATTCAAAATACAATGATACAAAAAAAACAAACAAGTTAAAATGATACAAAAACAGCACAACTGATAACCCACCACCTGAAAGAAAAATGTTGACTATTCGTACAGTTACTGTAAGAATGGCAACCATTAGCAGTCCTTTGAGTAAATGTAACGGAAACAAAAATAAAGATGTAAAATATTTATTAAACAAATTTCTAGGAGACAATTTGTTGATTCATCACTGAAGCACAACATGTCTGATAGTTAAAAAAAAACAGATTAAAATTAGAATCACTTTGAGTAAAGTCAAACACATGTGAGATCTTTTCCTGTAAATTTATCAAAGTCAAGAGTACGTCCAATGACATCGGAGCAGACCTGTGATAAGATCGCTATATGTCCCATGATGAGCGGCTATAGAGCCAACCAACCAGTGATAACTGCACACCAGGCCTTGTTACAATAAAACGGAAATATGATGCCTCTTTACATTCAGATCATACAAAAAAAAAAACCAACCAGATGTTTTGTTAGCAAAAGAGGTTAAAAAAAAACATTTTTTTTCCCTCAAAACTGCATCATAAACTTTGAAAACAATTTCTTTAAAAGGTACTAAATTATAAGCAGTTGGGTTTGAATGAAATAAACAATACAAAGCATCCTTTGAGAATTTGTATACATTGCCAATCTGAACCTAACGTAGATCTTTCTCACCCTCTAATTCCTCAAAGTAACAGCGAAGAATGTAAAAAAATCCAACAATTTTTAAAAGTAAATAACTGATAATTTGTTAGTCAACAAAATTATTAGTAAAAAGAGCTGATCTGCCCAATTCACAGGGATCGATTTAATGTCATAGAGAATAAAATCCTGGTGATGTGCATTTAAAAAATTAATTTTTTCCCTTCCTGTGACAATAAAGTGCTTTAAAAAGTTAACAAGGTAACAGGAATTTTAAATCATTCAAACATTTAGTGATGTGAAGGTTCTTAGGATAATGATTGACCGTGGATGGAATGTCCAGGATGGCACAAGGAATCTTAGAGTATGGCCGGGTTTAAAATTTCAAGCAGGATTTCTACTAGTGCAATGATTATACTTCATGTAAAAACTTGAGACTGAAAACAATGCCTGGATACATTTATAACATTTAAAAAATTTTATAAAAAAAATCGGTACATTCAGGGTATGGCATTAGATTTGAAATATTTACATGCATGTACTTTGGTCTTTTTCTCTTTAAAAAAAAAGTGGAGATAATAGTGAACAGATGTGACGATAACCTACTGGTGATGCAGTTTACAATAGTAGATATTTCATCAAAAGCTGACCAAAAAAATAGATGTTTCATTAGTAGCTCTAGTTTTCAGTTTTTAACACACATGAGTTAAAAGAAAACAAAAATTCACTTATAATTCCTTCCGTGGTTTTCACGTAACTAGCAAAGCAGAGTTGGAAGACATTTACTTCTAAAACATAATGCTACCAAATTTGGTACTGTTAAAAATAGAAAATTCTTTGAAATTGGAAAATGCCTTTCCAACTTTGATAAAATTAATAGGACACTTAGTATCATTTACAACGTACTTCTACTTCTTTGAGTGCTAAAATTGTTATGTCTTTATGCAGAATCAGAGTCCGAAAAAAGAAAAATTGATTTCTCACATTTCCTCATGCAGCTTGGAATACTTGCTAGAATCTGGTTTACCAGATTTCTTTCCGTAAATCCTCACATCAGGCTCATCAAGCTGTGCCTCATCATTGTGTACAGAGTTAAAATCTCCATCGTTGTCATCCCGCTTCATCTCAATGGTCCAGAAAGCCCGCCGCCTCTCCTGAGCCCGATACTTACGGTACAGGAAAAAGCCAAAGACGGCCAGCATGACAAGCACAGTGACGCCGATGACGCTGCCAACCACTTTTGTGGATGATGAGTTACTGCCCTTGACGAAGAATAACCCGTTCAGGTCCTCAGTACGGGTGCAGTTTTTGGCACCAATGGCATCGCCGACGTAGCCATGCAGACAGCGCTCACAGTTGAAGCCGGTCGTGTTGTAGAGGCATTTGGTGCAAGCTCCTGTTGGTAATACAATGATAGAAACAGTGAATGGAACTGCAGTCATATTTGATTTTCTCCCCCCCCCCCCCAACGGCCCCCAAAATTTTTAATTGACACAATTTTTTTCAAAAGTTATTTCCCATTTTTTTTGTGTTGAAGGCGGTCGTGTTGTAGAGGCATTTGGTGCAAGCTCCTGTTGGTAATACAATGATAGAAACAGTGAATGGAACTGCAGTCATATTTGATTTTCTCCCCCCCCCCCAACGGCCCTCAAAATATTTGAATGACACAATTTTATTCAAAAGTTATTTCCCATTTTTTTTGGGTCCCATCTCAATCAAGGATTGCCCACCGGCAGCGGTTTTAACCTAATAGATGTTATGTCACAGAAAGTTTTAAAAAAAAGAACCTTAAGCATCCATATGATATATTGAACTTAATCACAGTTGGTTACCCTCAAACTCCTAAAACTGAACAATATTGTCTCAAAATCACACAATACAGTATCTTAATAGAAGCCGGCATAAAGAGTACGATGAAAGCACACACACACACACTGCTGGTCATCTTCTGCACCCTGGTCTATTCCCAGTCGTCTTGACTCAGTCTTGTCATTGGATCAAATAGGCGTGGTCGAGAGAGTGAGCCTCACATTTTTGTGTGCAAAGGACAAAAGTAATTAAATAAACATACATTGTGTATATTGTATAATGTATACAATATCTACTCGCATCGTGTGTCAAGTAGGATCGAGTTAAGCTGACATCAATAAAAGCAACTTCCAAAAGTAGGTAACCGATGTTTATATTGCAATCTGCAGTAACTTTGTTTTGCAGATGTGTATTGGCTATAGATATCAATTAATATTTGGGTGAACGTGCATATCATATATAAATATCACAGTCATGTCACTGGTAAAAATAAAGTTACAGGTAAAATTTAACTCAAAATCAGTTCAGCGTAAAATAAAATTTATTGAAATAAGAATTAATTAACAAAGTAGCTTGAGATTTGTCTTTTTAGGAAAAGGCTGGTTCAACAACCATTAACCATATTTCTTGTTAACATATATCACTCTGCAACTATCACAAGCTGTAAATGGGTAAAGAGAACAGTGGTGTTGGAACTAAAAGGGTGGATTAAAAACTGCACAGCTGTTGTGTGCGTTCAAAAAATAGATTTCAAAGGCACTCTCAGATCCTATAAAATATGTCAAAATCATATGTCGCTGTGCAAGAGTTGAGATGGCAATCTCATTTTAAAAAGATAATAAAATAGTTTCTCAGTTTTAACACTTGCAGCGGTTCAGCTTAACGAAATAATTATGTCACAACAAAGCAAAGAAAAGCATGGATTTATTAAAATTTTCACTAGGGTGACTTTGCTAGTATTGCTATTGCTGTGTCTAGCTGGTTCATTATGAAAATACAAAGCAACAATATAACCATCGTTATGAAAACATAGAGGAGTTATTATCTATAGACTTAAATATTTAGACCCAACCCCCCACACCTCGGCACACCTGTAAACAAAATCTCCTAAATCAACACCACCCCAGGGAAAATGTAACATAATTATAAATTCCAAGCCAATCATATTTCTCTAACCCAGGACTGCACAACATACGGCCCGCGGGCCGCATGTGGCCCACCAGCACCAACTTCGTGCCCCGCGGGGTAATGAAAAACTCTTAATTCTTATCATTTTCTTTATAGCTCCCCCCCACCTGACTTATATTCTTTTGGCCCGCGCAAGTCCTGTCCTATTTTCTTTTGGCCCGCACAAGTTTTTCATAATGTATTACAGCCTGTCTTACATTTTGAGTTGTGCAGGCCTGCTCTAACCCATTCACCACAAGATGTAGAAAGGAGCTAAAACTAAAAACAGACAATGTATTTTTTTTCCAATTGGAAAAACTACCAGATGCATACATTTTCAACTAGGTCTCTTAAAATTGTAGTTCTGACAAGTCTTGGCATCATAAAATACATCTCAATATTGTACTTTGTACGTCAAAATGATAAGAATAAACAGGTCTGCTACCCACCTGGCAAGGTTATGAAAATTTGTTATTTTTTTATGCCCAAATAATTTAATAATAATCATTTGTGTTAGCCACAGATCAGGGCCAGTTGAATAGGTTCAGTGTTGGGACACCTATGAATTATAAAATATTGCCCAACAAATAAAATGTTTCCTTTCCTTACCAGTGTGTTTACTGCACATGTTTACGTCATTGCTATGTGCGTTTCCGTTGCAACGACAGGGCACGCAATGTCTGCCGTACCTGTAGAAGCCTTGATCACAGGTGTGACACAGGTTGCCTGAGTAGCCGACCTTACATCCGTCACACGACAAGAAGCCCTCAACTGTTTGAGAATATCAATCACACCAAAATTTTGTCAATAGATGTGTATTAGACGAGTGCATGCCATGGAATATATGCATTTGATCTAATATAATATGGCCAGTTTTTGTTTTGTTTTTTTCAAGTACCTGAAAGGTCTAAAAGTGAATGAGGTATTAGTAAAGAAATATAGCTTTTAAAAAAACTCCAGCTAACAGTAAGATATTTAAAGCTAACAGTAAGAAATTGAAAAAGCTGACTGCAAGTAGGGACTTTGGAATAGCCAGAGAACACCTGAAAATCAGGGATCATAAGTTTGTTGTCAAAATGACAACCTCCACTTTTTAATTTACTGAGGGTGTTATGTTTCAACGTTTATAATTGAATATTGGCATAGTAATAAATTCTACTTATGCCAATTACTTAAAGCTGACATCTTGCTTGGTCAATTGAGAATTTATTTCAGTTTTTTTTCCTCGAGGTTTAAGCTTTGAAAATTTCAGTTAAAAATAGGCCAACTTTACTGATCAATAACTTTTTTAAAAAACAGCTGATTAATTTTTTTTATTTAAATTTCTTAAATTTATTATGCCATTTATAATATATAAAAAATGTATGACAGTGGACAGAATGTAAAGGGGTCGAAAAAAGAGGAGAAAAAAAAAGTCACTATTTTAGGCTATGTAATATGTCTCATTGCGACCATGTTTGTCAGCGTATGATCTATTATCGATAGCTGCTGCTCAGTAGTTAATAATTCATTAAATTGGTTATCCAGAATATAAATGGGAATTATAACTAATAATAAATCAATTTAAATAAATAATTATCATTGGCTATAAAAAATCAGTGGTTTTAATTTTGGGGTCGTTTGCCAATGGTCATGGGATTTAGTTAGACCTATTAAAAGTCTTATAAAGTAGTAATGTAAGTGACCTGCAAGTAATAGTATTGAGTTGATATTTATTGTTTTTATGGAAATATACAAAAACAAAAAACTTAGCTATTTAAATAATTAAGTAAATATAAAAATCAAAGTCACCACAAGTAAATAATTCACAAAAGAGTGAGCAATTAGACTTCTACTGATAACTACTACTAAGTCTAACACATTCATTTCAATAATGTCCTCAAGAAAATTACAAATACTAATACAACAGGCTCATCCAAAGAAGAATTCCACAACAAATTTTAAAATGTTCCACAGGTGAATTGTTATTACTGGTACAGCTTTCAAATGAATATCAACAGCTTAAAACTTAAGTCTAAAATTTAGACCCTGTTGCTGTAGCCAACCTATTCAGTCTAAGTTAATGTTAAAATGGCTCAAATGACTGCAAACCAATAAAAAATTTGCTTGATTTCATCTGTGGGAGCATCAATGACAATGTCGTGTTTTTTTTTTCTTTTATAAATACAAACAATTGGTATTTTAATTAACATGTTGCAACTTTAAAATTTAATAAGTTATTATTTTTTCACCCTAAAAATACAGTTTATTGAATCTATATAGGAAGAAATTAGTATCTTATTTTTAACATAATTATTTAAATAAGAAAATTCTATTCTAAAGCATATTTTATGCTTTCATTTATTAAAATAAAACACTATCAACAAATCCTGTAAATATGACATTTGTATAGTGATAAATAAGCACAAAAATATGGGTGAAAGTGATGAGCTGGAAAATGGCTGACAAAATGTGGAGGAAAACTCAATGGTAAAAAAAATTGCCTGGATGTCCACACTAAAAAAACTCATAACTATTGAACTACATGAGCTAGAAAGTTGCTCTGGGTGTTTTTTGTAAATGATTCAATTGGCTCCATTCAGCGGTTTTGCATATATTTTTTTAAAAAGAAATATTCTGAACCTTTCACCAAAGCACCTACTGTAAACAATAGAGAAAACAGACATCAAGTTAATCAAAAGCTATCGGTAAGAAATTGAAAGCTTACTGTAAGATATTTAAAGCTGACGGTAAGAAATTGTTAAAGCTGACGGTAAGAAATTGTGAAAGCTGACAGCAAGAAATAGAGTTAGCCGACAGGTATCAAAAGCTATGGGTAAGAAATTGAAAGCTGACTTGTCTTACAAACATAAAGTTCAAAGAACCACTTACTGAACGAGCAGGTGTTCGTGGTGGTGGCATGTACTTCACATGGGCAGCGGTGGCAAGGGAAGTGATTGAGAGTCCTGTAGAACCCAGCAGAGCATTTCTCACAGAATTGTCCTTCGTAGCCTGGCTTACAGTGACAATGGTCAGTGCCACCATCTTGTCCACAAGCAATAGGAGTGGTAGTGCCGTGCCAGTCACATTGACAGACTGGAGTGGATAAGGGTAAAATGTCATTTTATCGAAAAGGCAATTATAGGGCCAATCTATGTCATTCAATAGACAGATGAGTTAAGTATACGGCTGTTCTATGAAATTGATAGATAAGGCCATTAAAGGGTAAATCTATGTCATTTGATAAGCCAATTATAGAAAATATCTATACCATTTGAAAGAAAAGCCAATTATAATTTAATAAAGGATAAATCTATATTTGGTGATAGATACAGCAATTATAAGGCTAATCTATGTTTTGATTACCTTTACTTGTCTCATTAGTTGTTACTACAAACAGAGGTGGCTGAGATTCAAACTCTTTCCTGACAAAAACAGCCGTTACTGTGATGGAGTAGTTTGTTCTGGGCTTCAAGTTGAAGATTAGGGCTGTGTGCTCTGATGGAAATACATTACGCTGTTCTGGCAGAGTAGACAAAAAAAATTGTTTCAAATCACACAATATTATTACCATCCAACTTCTGTAATCTCTTTTGTCACCTTAAAAGGGGGGGCGCTGATAACAGCATGTGATAAGGCCAATGACAGGATGTGATACTAACCAAGGCTGCTTATATTGGTGGTCCACGATCCCTCTGTCACCAATGTGACACAGCAGCTATGATGGACGGACTGCTTGTGCTAGGGTAAAGATTTGATTCCAACAGAAAGGCAAGACGTAATATCGAAACCTTTAAATTGCCACCACCATGGCATGTCCATGAGAATTTAAACCTTGTGCTAATGAATGAGAGACAGTTTCAAACTCAACCAACCTGATTTTGTTGTGTTCACTTCCAGCCATTTGACTCTGTAGCTTACGATGCATCCTTCTTCGAATGGCACAACAGCACTGGGTTCTGTGCTGTTAGCCTCGGGCTGCTTGTCCTCAATACCAGAGTCTCCTAGAGGGATTGCCATCGTTCCCGTAGAGGAATCTCTAACTTTCTTAAGCTGCACAGCATAAGCCAGGAAGTGCATGTAAGGTTGACATTTCCGAGCTGGTTCTGTTTTTATCGTGGTTGTTGGAACATCTGAAGCTTCATACAAAAAATAAAATAAAATAAAACAAATTAAAAATAAAACAAGAAAGAAAAATCAATTATAAGTACAGCATTTAGATCAATGTTCCCCTTCTCCAAACCTCGGTTTTACATACTTCAAGCTAAAAGGAGAAACGAAATTCATTTCAGGTTAAAAGTTGAAATGCAGAGGCTTAAAATATATACTTTTTTTAAAACCCTAACTATATTATTTAAAGAAATAGATGAGAAGAGTTCAAGACCCTATATCTACGTGGTTCCACAGACTAGTAGGCCTGCCCTTGAGCAGGCGAAGTGAAGGTAACGTGTCATGCCGTAAGTGAAGGCTACATGGACAGGAGAGTTGGGGTAAAACTCAACTGATAGGGAAAGGAAACCATGCTGCCCCAAAAAAAAAATAATTAAATTAATATTTCCAGCACACTCACAAACCATGTAAACCTTCACATGTGTGGGTGTGTGGGGGGAAAGTTGGGTGTGTGTGTAGGGGGAAAGGTGGGTGTGTGGAGGAAAAGGTGGGTGTGTGGAGGGAAAGGTGGGTGTGTGGAGGTAAGGCTTTTTTTTTAGGGGGTGGGGAGAAATAAAATAAGCCAATTTAAATTTAAAAAACTTTCATGAATAAATCCAAATAACACAAGCTCAAAATCTTTACTTGTTGAGCTTGGGGCGACTTCATTATTTAAAGGATGGGCATCACTTCCTGGTGCAGAGCTACTAGAGTCAGCCGGGTCAGTGGGCTGGGGCTGTTCATCAGTGTCATTGGTGAAGTCGATGTCATCAACATTGTCAACATCGTGGGACGTGTACACTTGGGGTGGATCCCAGGTCACGGTTATAGAAGTGGAGTTGACATAATAAAATGTGACGTTGACAGGAGCACTGATGAGCACAAGGTCTGGATGGGAAAAATAAAATATAATATAATAATAAGCTGATGTCAGTGAAACTCACCTCTGATCTTACAGTTGGTATTTATTTTTCTGGGTGAAAATAATCAACACATTTAAATGTAAGATAGATACTACATGCAGTTACCTGGATGTGCTTTGTGTGGATATCATCAAAACTAGTTGCTTTTTTTCAAATTGTGTACCTGAATTCAAGAGTACTTCAAAAAATCTAATGTTCATAGGGTGGAGAAAAATATCCCAACATCGCCATAGATCATAACTAATGTCTGACATCTTTCCACAACAATGCCCACCGCCTCCAGGCACATTCATACAAATGAAAGACAAACTATACATGTCTGTGAGATGGTTGATATCCATCTACAGTCCTACCCTTACCATGTGACTATACCATCAGGGAATCCCTATTCATAGTATACCCACTCTTCCATGATCTGTAGACCATTTGAGAATTTGACCATGATGGTGACGGCCATACTGTGACTATAAGAATGCATTTTAAGTTTGCTTTCAATTTAGGTTAGGTAGTTTTCTTTGCATTTTTATTACAAGTCCTTTGTTCACAATTCTTTATTAAAATAAAAATACCCCTGATCTACATTTTAACTATTTCAATTAATTTTCATCAGCAGTTAAAAGTTATGGTAGAGTGTGCATATTCATGCAACAATTGTTACTCAAAGTACACCCTAATGAGGTGTCGAGGGAGAAAACTGAACATGTGGAAGTCATTAAACTTTTTTATTTATTTATGCAGTAACAATTAAGGCTGCCCACTTTCTTCCTGTTATCTGTTTATGTACACAACAATACCACTACTAATCATAATGTAACAAGCAAATAAAAGCAAAATATAATTTGTCATGTCAGCTAAAAATAAAAACCTAGATTAAATGTGGATCCTGACAGCTCTATCTACAGAAGTGCAGCACTTTACTGAGCATATGAGTGAGAGCAATGAGCAATAGGTACCATTAGTTATTGGACCCTTAAAAAATGTATATCAAGAATATTTATTTTCTCTTCAACGTTAGTCACTGCCAGCATCACTCATTCAATATTTTATGTGAAGAGCCGATAAAAAGTTGATTTTGTATACGCTGCCTAGAAGGATAGGATAATTGGCAAAATTAACAACAATTGACAATAAACAAATCTATCTTAGTAGTAGTTGACGGCAAAAAAAGCAATTGCTGCATTTGAAAAAAATGAGACATCAAAATTACATTATACAAGTACAATAAACAGAAAATATTTTTTATATTATAAAAAGATGAGCAGAATTACTCAGTAAAACTATGTTTAATTCATTAATATTATGCAGTTCTCTTATCTGATCTTCTTTGTCTTAACTCTCTTATTGCAAAAACCAATTTCCCCCAAGCCCTAATATGCAGCTATTGACTACATTATACAACTTCAAAACAACTACAACCTGGTTATCATACCACAGCTGTTACTAATTACTGGACATAAGGGGACATATTTACAAACAATACATGCCAAACCATTGGGATAAAAAAAAAAAAAAAAAAAAAAAACCCCCCCCCCCCCCCCCCCCCCGTTGTACACTAGGATGAAAAACTATTCAGAAAAAAATGAAAGAAAATTCAGTAAGGTATATTGGTAACATTTTCATAATTTAATCATAAATGTTGTGCATGCATGCAAACTTTGTTGTCTTGATAGGCCTAGCTTTGATGAATTATCTCCCTTTCTGACCATTTTAGCATGTTTACATCTTTAAAATAATAATAGCTTGCTTTAAATCCAATTTTCGTCCAAATTTTTTTCATTTTCTACACTGTACAATAGCGATTTTCTTAAAAATTCACTTACCATATTTTCCGGCGTATAAAACCATATTAACCCATGAAAATCTTTTCAAAAGTCAGGGGTGGTCTTATACGCCGGGGTCGTCTTATGAGCTGGTGTACAGCCAAACCCTAGATTTTAAAATTAAAAGTAGGGGGTCGTCTTATACGCCCAGTCGTCTTATACGCCAGAAAATACGGTAGATAAAGAATTTGATAGCAATTTAGATATAATTAGACATTATTCATTGGTTAACTATGCTAGCTGTATATAAATTAATGAAAACCAAAGAGAAATACATTTTGCTTGTCTTGACAAAGTTATAAAGTTTAGCGTCAATTTATAGCCTTACTTTTTACCATACCAGGCAAAAAGTATGCGCATAGTTTTATTTTTTTTTAACCATAGTAGGAGCTAGGTGGATAAAAAAAATAAAAAAATATATTGAAAACAAAAAGATTTTCTATCAAAGACGAGTTTAAATGCACTAAAAAGTTGAAAATAATTAAACATATCTTAAAATGCATTATTATGCAAAGAAAGACTGTAATTAATTGTAGTGAGCACGCTATGAAGCCAAAGAATTGAATTGAATGTAGATGAAACTCAACTATATTTTACTTTTATAGTCTTTGAAAATATTTTTACACAGGCTTTCTTTGCATGATGCATTTCAAGAAATGTTAAATCATTTTCTACTTTTTTCACACAACACGTAAATACATCAACAGCATAAGATAACCAAACACAGTGTTCTGGTCATCCACAGCAATTTCTAATATTTTCCTTTTTCATTAGTACTATATCTACATTGTTATCCCTTTTTGAATGGTAGAAATACAATTCACAAAATGAAAATGGTATGTTCAGTACAAGAACTTTTATCAGCAAGTGCATTTAAGCTATATCATCTATGTTTAGGACAAATGAAAATTCACTCAAACAAATTTTTTTTTTGACCCTTAAAAGTCAATTTTTAAAAGTTACATAACTTATTCAGATTATTTTCAGTGCATGTATCAATTTTAATGTTAGCTTTCCTCTAATATATATTGGAACGTGTTTCATTTTCATACCCTTGAGAGATTTGAGGTATCTTTTTATAAAATATATTTCTTTATAATATAATATAAAAATGATTTTATTTGCTCCCCCCTCCTCCCCCCACTTTTCGAGCATGCCTCCCCTTTACTCCTATCAACCCCCACCTACACTTACCACCTTCCAAAGGGGTTCTTAACCTTTCTTGCAGAGCCACAACCCCTCTTGATTGCAAAACATTTCCCACACCCCTCTCGATTTGAAAATATTTCCTGTGCCCCCTTCCCCATTGCTAATAAAAAAGTACTATTATTAATTATTTAAAAATTATGTGTTGCCTTTGTGAAGGAAAGTTAAAACTCTCAGAGCAGCTAAATTCATGGTTGTTTCCACTAAGAGCACATATCAGAAATGAGATGATGAATAGCTTGGATAGTATAGGACAATCTGTTGTTATGCCATTCCATGCCTAGCCTATTGAATTGAAGTTCATCTTATACTACTTAACACTTAATTTAATAACTATATAATTTTTGTAATAATGAGCTAGAATTAAAATTTGGACTCATTATTATAATTTACTTGTAAAGTTCAGTAAACACTAACAAATGCAGTTCATTCATGATTCATGCACAATACAAAAAACTTAAAACTTAAAATTGGTGAATGAAATTATTGAAATTGAAATGAAGTATAAAGGCCAGTCAATTGTATGAGTTAAGTAGCTATGACATTAGTGACTAACATGACCATGAGTGTATCACGTAGACTTTAACTATAATTACTGTGAGTATGAAATGACTTGTATTAATTAATAATAATTTAATTATTTTACATTAAATTTAAGATAAAAAAGTTGGCTGAAGACGATGACGTCTTTTTAAGACGATGACGTCTTTTTAAACTACTAAGCTGCCTAATTATTTCTTTAAATATTTATACTTACGATCTGGTGGTGGTGTTGTTGATTCTTGGGTACCGTGTGTTATAAGCAAATAAAGACTGATCATAAATATAAAACAAACTAGCCTAAGCGATTTCATCTTGTTCTTTATCCTCTGCAAGCCCCCGATTTAGTCGTACTTACTGGGACGGGCTACCACTAACTTTTTTCAAAAGTCCCAAGATTTAGTCAAATATTTCCCAAGATTTCCCAAGGTTATAAAATAACTATTTAAATGTACTATCGGTTGCAAGCGTTTCGTTGCGCGCATCTCTGCTTGTTTGACTCCTGCATACACTGCGTTGTCCGCCAGGTGGAACGGTGCTTAGCGATGATCTCCCATTCGTTGAGTTCTACGTTAGCTTCCATCATGTTCATTTTGTTGCGTCCTTAAATCACAGCCGCGACAGTCCAATAAGATTGTCCCTACCTTCTGTCAACTCTCCAGCAGATCCTTTGGAATATGGCCTTCCCCCATTCTCCTTACATGGCCCAACCAGCGAATGCGCCTCTTGCTAAGAGCGGAGAGCATGCTACACATTTTTGGCACGTTCCAAAACCTCTGTGTTAGCACTTTGTCCTGCCATCGAATGCACAAAATGCGACGCAGGCATCTTTGGTGGAGGCTGTTGAGCTTACGCCTAAATTTTTCTTCTATGGCCCACGATCAAAGTATTGATCATTCTGGCTCCTGTATGCCCGAAAAAAATTGTTCCACATAGTCCTGTCAAGAAATTACACACTGCCACACGAAGTCACGATTGAGGTTGTTATGAGCGAAAAAGTTCAGCTTCTAAACAGTCCAAGAAACTTTCAGGTCCACGAATACCCAACCATACTGGAATAAAATTTGAAGAAAACATTTCAAAAATGAGTTTATGTACGAGAAATTTCACTGCTGTCTGATGTTAGGCGCTCGTACACTCTCCTCCCTGTTATAGTACGCAACAAGACATTTGGTCGGCGGCAGAGGAGTCCAGTATCAAGTGAACTGGGTTTAATGTCAGTTAGCTTCATTTTATCATCTTACGAAATAAAAAAATACGTATCCGAGGACATACGTTCTGATTTTGGCCTAAGTCTTTATTGTATTATTTTCCACAGATTTTACCATTTCTTCCAATGAATTTTTGTCGAAATTTCAGATTTCCTTCCTTTTGTGCTCTTGTTGTTTTTTATTTATTATTCCACAATCTCGTTGCCAGAGAGACGCTTAGTTTTCTATGTTAATTTAGTTTAAGATTATTCCACACCCACTTATTTAATTTAGCCATAGTTGCTGCTTTTGAGATTCTGATTGTTCACCTCTTCGTCAACGGAGAGTGAACAAGAGATTTTGGATTATTGAATCAGAAACATCCTACAGTAATTGAATTAAAGTACGTCACACTATTTTTGACCATTTTACCCCCCCCCCCCTAAAGTACGTCACACTTTCGAACAATTTCTAAAAAAAAAAAAAAAACACCAAATTAAAAATGTCAACGGAGAGTGAAAAAAAGATTTTGGATTATTGAATCAGAAACATCCTACAGTAATTGAATTAAAGTACGTCACACTATTTTTGACCATTTTACCCCCCCCCCCTAAAGTACGTCACACTTTCGAACAATTTCTAAAAAAAAAAAAATAACACCTAATTAAAATTTAATCTAAAACACACTTCACTATTAAACTGTATTAAAATATAAAATTTCCACTTTAAAAAAAACTATCACATTATTAAAATGACGATAATAGTAGAATAGTTAATTGTCAACAGTTGCCACAGTTATTCATTGAAGCAGTAACTCAATCTAGATTGGATTTGAGAACAAAAATTGCAAAAATTAGACTAGACAATTATATAATACACATCATTTATCTGCAGCTTTTTCATTTACAATAGGTGAGGTATAGTTTTAGATAATTTCCCATTATGCAATCTTTTTACACAGGATAAGAAGTAGATTAACGAAACTTGACCTCACCCAGTGATTAAATAATAAAAAGGAAACAAAACAATTTGACTAAAAAAGACTAGATTGGCAAATTATTTGGCAAACTCTTGTGCTATATTGAATCTGTTTATTATGGGCCTGTGAATTATGTTTATTTAAAAAATATTCACTGGACATCCTCCATCCATGGTGAAGTGAAGTGTTCATCCATAATTACGACTGGCATCAATCTTCCACCATCATCGTTTCCTGGAAGGATAATTGCAGACAGATCCACTTCATCCTCATCTAGCCACTCAACATCCTCTGAATGTGCATTCTCTCTTCTGACAATAACTACCATGAGTTTTTTTTTTTTTTTTTGCCTTCTAGCAGCGATTCTCAAATAACTGATTCGTTTTTTCTGAGTTGATTCTGGAACAGTTTGGGTAGGTACATTCCCCCGAGCCCGAACTCTGTAATGTCCTGCATGTTTCTTGCACTGAGATAACTGAT